TTTGGTTTGGTTATTAACGCTGAAGTCCCTTTGAATATTTGTGAATTCCTTTTTGTGTGTGTGTAAGAAAATAAAAGTTTTAGCATCATGGAAAGGAGAGAAGTCATTCCTTCCTTGCAGATAACTGGAAAGAGGATTTATGAAAAATAATTAAGTGAAACAATATGTAGTGCACACAACTGAAACCCCTGTTTATAACAAATTTGGTTTGGGGAAGAATAAGAGAAGCAGGCTGTAAACTGTTTATGAGAATTTTTCTTTCTTTAGATTAGATAGAAAACAAATCAAACTGATGATGATCTGACTCTGATATTATGAATCAAAGATTATTTTGTACTAGCCAACACAATCCAGCTGTCCATCTATTCTATTTTATTAAATATCTTCCCTAATTTAGGTAAATTATTTGGGTATATACCATGAAACAGATAAGTATTAAAAACCCAAGAACAAGTGGTTAAATCTTCTAACTAGTTTTATTCATTCCTTCAGCTATGTTCAGTGGCTCACATTGTATATGTGCCTTAACCTTCTCAACAGTGTTTCCTACACACACACACACATATATATATATACACACATATATATATAGAGAGAGAGAGAGAGACAGAGAGAGATTTGCTCTAAAGTCTGGATATAGGCAAGGGCTTCTACAAGCGGCATTATATTACTTTCATCAGGAGTCATCCTAAGAACTAATCGCAGCCCTCTGATCCTCTCCAGTTCAGGAAGAGAGTGACCAGTACAACTAAGGCATTGCTCAGAGGGAGGCATTGTCATCTTGCCCACTTAAGGGGAAGTGGAGCTAGGCCCTTGAGAAATTTCTGTTTCACGGCCAAGGGTGAAGGAATGACAGCAGGAAGATGGAGGAAGCAGATATCTACTGCTATTTCCTCCCATTTTTATCCACTCATTCAATAAGATTTTATTTCATCTTCATTAGGTACCTTATGTTACAAATGAGGGAGATCGTAAATTTTTGAAGTAAATACTCAGCAACAGTTTACAAAACAAACTTAACTAACCAAACAATCAAGAAAAAGTATTTTTTTATTTCCTTTTTTTGAGACGGAGTCTCGCTCTTGTTGCCCAAGCTGGAGTGCAATGGCATGATATTGGCTCACCACAACCTCCGCCTCCCGGGTTCAAGCGATTCTCCTGCCTCAGCCTACCGAGTAGCTAGGATTACAGGCATGCACCACCGTGCCCGTCTAATTTTTTGCATTTTTAGTAGAGACCGGGTTTCTCCATGTTGGTCAGGCTGGTCTCAAACAACCGACCTCAGGTGATCCGCCAGCCTCAGCCTCCCAAAGTGCTGGGATTACAGGTGTGAGCCACCCAACCTGGCTGCAAAAGTGTATTTTCTTAAAGTGAACAGAAACTGATTGTGAACATAGATTAAATTGCCTTCTTGAGGTTATGCTGGTGTGTGTTACCACATGCAAATACTAAGAAAGGGACTGACAATAAGGAGCCTTATCTCAGTGGGACATACAATGAAAAGTAATAAGGCCAGGGTCACATGTAGATGAGGAGAGAAAGTCAAGTATTCATGGTCTTGCATCTGCTTCTTGACCGACTCCTACTCATCTCATGCCACTTTCTCCTCCTCTCATCTCCCTAGCCTCAGCTCTTCCCTTCTTCAAAGTTTACAACTCATCAACCTCATGCGTCTTGTTTCATTTTCTAGAATGCCTAGAATTCATCTTGAAAAAGATTCTCAAACTTTTGTTGTCTCTCCTTAGATTGTTCTTCCCCTTTTCACCATTTTTCCAGCTTATTTTCAACAATCGGGTTTCAGTTTACGTATCATTTTCTTACCTCCTTCAAAGGGTCATTTTCTAAACACTCTTGCTACAGAAGCCTCTCTCCTTGACATTACATATTGCAGCATCTTCTTTCATTTCTCTATAGCACTTTTCATAGATTTTCATTACTGCATTTAAATTTTTATTTATTTATACTATTTCCCCATAAAAATAGGTTTATCTCCACAAGAAAGGCAACATTTATGCCTCTTCACCATTATATCCTAGTGGTTATCACCATACCTAAAATGCAGAGAATGCTCAATAAATGTTCATTTAATTTACAAAGTAAGAATATAGAAAATTCTGATAATAGTAAATATAGTGCCAACTCTAGAATTAAGAGGGATTTGAACATAATATAAAAGCTCCATATGTAACATTTTTGTGGTTTACTCTCATATTGATTTAACTAAATAGCAAACTTTGTAGATTTAATTCTGAAATGTGTTTTTAATCATAGTCAATTCTTCTTATTCAGAATTATATTCTGAATTCTAGAATCATAGAACAAAGATGCCTTTTAGCCATTTTTGTAGATAACTAACTGCCCCCACAAATACATCAGATAATTTACATTAGGTATATCAGGTAAAAATATTTCTTTGAATAATGTTTAATTAGCCAGGTTTGTTTTTTACAAACATTGTACAAAGATATCTTCTCCATACTTGCTTGGTTACTACCATTGGTCTTTAAAAGAAATATCTAGGATAAAGGATAGATCATAAAAGGAAAAGATAAAAGAAATATAAATTATTAAATCAGTGATCTCATGCTATGACCAGAAAAGATGAAGATTTGATCTTTACAAAAAGCCTGAAAAGAGGTGATGGCTAGAATATGTTTCTGAGTTAGAACCGAGTACCCAAAAGGAATTTTTAAAAGCAAGGAACTAAGAATTAATTTTGAATACATTTTTAGAAAGATGAAAGCGGCACCAAATGCCAAGGAAAAAAAAAAGATCTTCCTGTCTACCAATGAGCAGGCAACAGATGCCTTTGTACTGTTCATATCTTCTTACCCCAGTCCCATGTGGACTGTCTGCAGTAAATACTGTTTAGCTTAACAGTCCATCATTTTCCCTATTGAAGTCTCCATTTAGAAAGGTAAGATTTTGCCCCTGGCTTGCCGGACTCTTGCCCTACATAAAGATAATTAGATTCTAACAGAACAGAAGCTAATTTGTGGGTTTAATATAGTGCTGCTTTTAGATAGTAATAAAATCCTTTTCTAAAACACTAAGTGCACATCAGCATTAGCATAAGTCAAACAGTTTCCAGCCTCACATCTGAAGGGTGTTTTTTATTATTTAACTCCCTAGAGATGGCTTAATATCTACAGTGACCTAATAATGACCTGGTTTAGATTCAGATGATACTGCTTTACATTCGAGTTGGAATCTAAAGGGTCTTTAGGAATTACAGAATGTGGCCTGACTTGATGGGTTTGTCTGAGCTTTTCACTTTTAAGTCTTAACAGGAAGGAGACCACTGAATCATTGAACTACCCAGAGTTCAATTTGCTATATAAACTAGAGACCTTATTTATGTAAAATTAAGTCACATATTTCTCCTTAGCAATTTAAAAAATGTATTTCTATACTATACAATATAATATTTTGTATCCAATATATGAAAGTTACCCTTCAGTTGGCACATTTTTATGATCTAACACACAAAAGTATGAATTCAAGTCTCTAATGATATATGAGAGAGATCTATAACATCCAGAAAGACCATTAGATCCATATTCCATTCATAATGCCAAATAACTAGGTCACTGATGAAAGGAGAAATAACCTGTACCCTGTCATGCAAGGAAGACAGGTGGATGACTCTCAGATGAGGATTTTCCTTTTCTTTTCTTTCTTTCCTTTCATTTTATTTGATTCATTGCATTTATTTCATTATATTTTCTCAGTTTTAAACCAGAGGCTACTCTACATGGTGAATATATTTGGATTGAATTGTAGATTTTGGTATCACATGATCAGAACCATTTTTATTTTTCCTAAAATGATAACTGTCCTCACCCACAGGAAAATTCAAATCTTTGATGGAGAGAGTATTTGACAAGAATGAGCTCATGGATGGTGGCATAAGGCTATAATCCTAGAATATTATTGTTTGGAAATGTAAAAGGAAAATATAGTCATATGATACATCCTGTTTATGTCTAACACATTTAATTTAAAATGCCATACCAGTCTACTCCATCTTTGAACATACTTCATTGTCTAGGAAGTGTTTTTTGTTTGTTTTAACAGCTTCATTGAAGTATAACTAAATTCAGTTAACTACACATATATAAGGTGTACGATTGGATAAACTTTATTATTATTATTATTTTATTATTATTGTTTTGAGAAGGGGTCTTGCTCTGTCACCCAGGCTGGAGTGCAGTGGTGCAATCTTGGCTCACTGCAACCTCCGCCTCCTGGGTTCAAGCAATTCTCCTGCGTCAGCCTCCCGAGTAGTTGGGACTACAGGGGCGTGCCGCCACGCCTGGCAAATTTTTGTATTTTTAGTAGAGATGGGGTTTCACCATGTTGTCCAGGCTGGTCTCGAGCTCCTGTCCTCAGGTGATCCGCCTGCTTTGGCCTCCCAGAGGGCTGGGATTACAGGAGTGAGCCACCACACCCAGCTGGATAAATGTTAAAATAAGTATACATCCATGACACTATTAATAACAATAAAAATGATGAACATATCCATCACCCACACAAGTTTCCTAGTGCTTCTTGTGATCCTTTCCTCCTCTCTTTTCCCTACCCAATTCCCAGGCAGCCAGTGATTTGCTTTCTTTCGCTAGATGATAGTTTGTGCTTCCTAGATTTCACGTAAATGAAATCATGAAGTATGATGTTTTTTCGGCTTGCCTCTTTCATGAATCATAGTTATTTTGTGTATATCAACAGTTTATTTCTTTTTTACTGCTAAACAGCATTTCATTATATGAACAGATCATAGTTTATTTATTCATCTGTGGATGAGCCCTTGGTTTGTTTCTTTTTTTCGGCTATCATAAAAGTACTATGAGTATTTCTGTACAAGCCCTTGTATGTACAAATGCTTTCATTTCTCCTGAGTAAATATCTCCAAGTGGGGTGACATAAATCATATGGTATGTTATATTTAACTTTTCAGGAAGTTGCCAAGATAAATTTTGAAATTAGTTTCAAGATTATACATTCACCAGAAATGTATGAGAGTTTCAGCTCTTCCATATCCTGGCCAAACTTGGTATGTTCAAACTTTTTAATTTTATTTATTTAATAGTTTGTTTTCATACCTCAGCTGCATATTAACTTGTATTTCCTCGGGTTTAATGAAGTTGAGTATTTTTTCATGTGTGTATTTCATATTCTAATATTTCCTTTGTTAGGTTCCTGTAAAATCTTTTGCCTGTTTTTAATATTGCATTCTGTTTTGAGAATTCTTTACCTCAAAACAGAGGTAAAACTTTTTCACAGATATGTGATTTGCAAATATTTCCTTTTTGTCATGTCATTTTCATATATTTTATAGAGCAAAAGCTCTATGACAATACTTTTGGTGTTATAGCTAAGAAACTTTGCCTAACACAAGATTATAGTAGTTGTTTCTTATATTTCATTTTGTTTTGCTTTTCCCAATTCTAAGACCTATGATCCAATTTCATTCAATTTTTGTATATGCTATGAGAAATGAATTACCCTTCTTTCTTCTTGTACATAAATGGCCAGTTGGTTCAACATTATTTTTTCAAAAGACTATCACTTCTCCACTGAGATTTCTTTGCATATTTATCAAAACACTTATCTATAAATATCAGAATCTACTTCTGGACTCTCTATTTCTTTTCATTCATTTGTCTACCTTAATCTTAATTCTGCATTGTTTTGATTACCAGAGGTTTATAATAATTTTTGATATCAACTTGTATTAGTCCTCCAACCTCATTCTTTTTCAAAATTGTTCTGGATATTCTGGGTCTTTGCATTTCTATATGAATTTTATAATCAATTGCCTGATTTCAACAAAAAGAGGCTACTGAAATTGTTATTGGGATTTTGTTGAACCTATAAATCCATTAGGAGAGAATTTACATCTTAACAATACTGAATCTTGTGACACATGAACAGGACATATCCCTCCATTTGTTCAGGTACACTTTAGCTTATCTAAACAGTGCCTTGTGTTTTCTGGTATTATAGGTATTATATATATTTTTTCAAGTTCTCCCTAAGTATTTATTTTTTGATGCTAAATAATATTTTTCAAATTTCAAATTTAAAATGTGTGTTCCTTATACAAAGAGATGAAATGGGTTGTTGTATATTAATGTATCTGGTGACCTTACTAAACTCATTTATTAGTCCTAATAGCTTTTTTGTAGATTCTGTTAGATTACTAAGAAAGCATTTATATTGTCTAAGAACACACAATTTTACTTCTTTTTTTTCTAATTAGGATGCCAGTTATTTCTTTTCCTTACTTGATTGCACTAATTAGAAAGTCCAGTACAATACTGAATAGAATTGAGAAAGCAGATATTGTCTCATTGCTAGTTTTTAGGATAGGGCAGTCTTTCAACATTAAATATGATATTAGTTATGAGTTTTCCATGAATGCTCTTTATCAAGTTCAGGAAGTTTCTTTCTTTTCCAAGTTCTCCATGAGGTTTGTGCATGTGTGCATGTGTTTAATCAAGAACTGATGTTACATTGATTGATTTCTAATTGTTAAACCAACATCACATTAAAAAGCATACTTGGTTATGATGTAGTATCATTTTTATATATTGTTAGATTTTATTTGCTAAAATTTTATGTAACACTTTATTTATTTATTTATTTATTTATTTATTTATTTATTTATTTATTTGAGAGGGGGCTCTTTCACCCAAGCTAGAATGCAGTGGGGTGATCACAGCTCACTGCAGTCTACAAATCCTGGGCTCAAGCAATCCTCCCACTTCAGCCTCGCAAAGGACTAGGACTACAGGCATGTACCACCATCCCAGGCTATTTTTTTTACCTTTTTTGTAGGGACAGAGTCTCTTTATGTTGCCCAGACTAGTCTCAAACTCCTGGCCTCAAGCAACTATCTCTCCTCAACTTCCCAAATTGCTGGGATTATAAGCATGTGCCACCAGGCCTGAATTCATATTTATAGGTTAAATTGGTCTGTACTTTTCTTCATTTCTAGTGACTTTTTATAACTTTGATATCAGAGTAATGCTGATATCATACAATAAATTATAAAGTATTCCCTCCTCATCAATATTCTGGAAAAGTTCGTGCTGAATTGGTATTATTTCCTCCTAAATGTTGCATAGATTTCACCAATAAATACATCTGGCCCTGAAGTTAGATTTATTCATTTGCCCATAAGTTAATAGAATTTTATTTAGTTTTCCAATATGTGGGGTTTTCTAAACATCTTCTATTATTAATTTTTAATATAAATCAATTTTGGTCAGAGAATATACTTTGAATAACTTGAACTCCTTTAAACTTATAAAACTTGTTCTATAACCTAAAATGTGGTCAATCTTGGTAAAGTGTATTCATTTGAAAATAACATGTATTTTACCCTTGTTGAATAAAATGTTCTGTGAAGGTCAATAAGGTCAAGTTCATAATCTTTATGTTTACTTATGTTCTATTTACTTGTTCAAGCCATTATTGAAAGGTGCTATTTAAACCTCTTAGTGTAAGTGTGGATTTGTCTGTTTCTCCTCTAAGTTCTGTTTTAATTGCATGTATTTTGAAGTTATGCTATTAGGTACCTAAACATTTAAACTTTTTATGTCCTCTTAACAAATTGACCTTTTATCAAGGGACATTTTTTGTTTCTGTTAATATTTTTTCCTCTAAGATATCTTTTCCTTATATTACAGGCATGCTAGCTTTCCTTTGATTGGTGTTGGCATGGCATTTTTTCCATTCTTTAATTTTTAATATATTTGACTCTATATTTTAAGTGCGTTACTTGTAGCCCATATAGACTTGGACTTGTTTCTTTTTTTAATCAAATTTGACCATCTCTGACTTTGTTGGAATATTTAGATTTTTTCTATTTAATTTATTTCTTGGTTTTGTTAGGTTTTATTCTATCAGCACACAGTTGTTTCTATTTGTCTCTACTGTACTTTGTACAGCTTTTTATGTCATCTTCGGAAAGAAATTGAAAATATTTTATAATTCTGTTTTATCTCCTTTCATAGCTTATTTGCTATAAATCTTTGCTATGTATGTAGTTGCTTTAGCATTTATATATGCATCTTTAATGTTTCAGTCTACTTTCAAGTGATACACCATTTTACATATAACAACTTTACTATAATGTATTTCCATGTCTCCTTTCCACATGTCCGTGTTGTTACTGAGATACATTTTACTTTTAAATGTGTTTTTAAAAATCCCATAGTACGTTTTCTTTTTTGCCTGTTTGTTTAAACAGTATATTGCCTCTGAAGGCCTTACGCTGGGGCAATCAGAGCTTACTTGATGTGTTTCGTGTCTTGTAGTGACCACCGTCCTTTGTTGTTTCATTTACCTTTTCTTACAAACCATTGGAGTTATTTTTGTCAACTTTTTGGTTGTTTCAGATGAAAGAGCGAACAGGCCCTCTGTTACTGCATTCTAGCCGGAAGCTGCTTGGCTGAGGCAATTTGATTCAGCCACAGAGGTTTGGAACCATTATATTTCAGAGGCATTATTTTTCTCTATGCAACTTCCCCTGCTGATCTTAGCTTTATCTCCTGATACTATGTACAAGGACCTAATCTGTCTTCTATGTACTAACCCTTAATTTTTAAAATAATGTATGTTAGGTCCCAGCTTTTACATCTTCTACATTTCTCACTTGTATAATTGCTTACATTGGTCCTAGTTTGAAAGTACTCAAGGTGATCGTCTGCATTATATCCTACTTTATAGTAGATTCTTTGCTTATATTCCTCATCTGAAAGATGTGTAGTTTAGCTGCTATGCACCTGACATTGTACCAATTTCTGGTATACATTTATTTAAACAATCTTCATAATAATTATTCAGGTGATTATTCTGTCTTCCTTTTAGGAATGTACTTTACCTAGTGACATGTAATGGATAATCTAAATGTACATTATTAAAAGAAAATTTCAGTAAATTGTAATTTGGCCATATAACAAAATAGTATTCAGGTATTTAAATTGATGACAAAGATTTATTTTTATCGTCCAGCAAAAATATTTACTACTTGTAGTCAAAAATCAATTTGGAGAGCAGAATTGTATGTATACTAAAAGCAAGCAGTGTATTTGTTTGATGTAAGTTGTGTTATCTGAGAGAAATAAATGGAAATATAACAGTGTTGAAATGCTATCTCTGTATGTGTACCTGTATACAAATAAGTGTCTGGATGAGACATAATATGCATAAAGTTTTACTACAGTCTTTAATCTCTTATTTGTTGTTTGATTTTTTAATCAAAAATCAATTTGTTGTTGGATTAAAAACTATAGTAGTCTTATTTACTATTAATTCTTAATAGTAAATATATATATACATGTGTGCATATCTGTGTTAAAGTGTGGTTACATAAATACATATCAATTATATCAAGAGGGAAAAACAAATATCGATGCCATTTTAACCTGTAATTAAAAGTAAAAACATTGTGTGTAATAAAATATGTTTTACATAAACACATTGCAGCTTATAACTTAATTCATATTTTAATTTATATTGTTAAATGCATTTAGTAATAATGGTGCAAATAAATTCAAAATTCTATAACAAAAAAATGAGTTTAACCATACTTCTAGCTTTTATCTACTCAATTCAGCCAAATTTTATCTTCAGTGTTATAATATAAACCTCAGAGTTTTAGATGACACAGGTTAAGTTTCAAATGCACAGCTGAATATTTTGGGGCTTATCCAAGCTGAGCCTTTCAAGACTCATTGAGTATTGGTGTAAGTTGACCCTGTGGCTTGATCATCTTCCTTCTCTGCAGTACTCAAAGCTAGACTCATGTAGGCAGAATACCAAGGACCTGTAGCCAAGTTTTAGGTTTTTACATTGTGCTTTGTGTGCTTACTTTAAGTGTTTAAATGCTATCTATTTTTATTATAAAAATCACACAAATGTAAGAAATGAATTTAAAAGCCAAATTTGGAAAATACATGAAGTTATAAAGTAAATAAATACTATCTATAGGCTTACCATCAGAGATAATTATTGTAAAAATTTTTATCTATTTACCTCAGATAGCAAAACTTTGATATTCTTTTTGCTTTTAATCTGCCTTCTTTATTTACTACCTTGTGATATATTTAACCACCATAAAGCACTTGTCTCACCATAAAGCACATACAGAAGTGACAACATTTCAGTTTCTTCATCTCCAAAAAGAATATAGGCACAGAAATTAAATGATGACAGTAAGAATTAAATGCTTGCAAATAGAATTATAAGTTTCAAGAACATAATAAATAAGGTATTAATGCTAGCTACTATTGCTATCCAATATATTGGAGTATACTAAGATCTTTCCCACCTCAATCATTATTCTTCACATAATTTGGTCTCTCTTATAACTTCAGGGGCTCAATAACACTAGTTGAATGAATGAATGAATGAATGTGTGGATTATCATTATTCATTTTCTTAGTAATAATATTAGCATTAGGCTTTATTAATTCACTACTCAAGAATTTTCATGATTTCTTTCTAGATACTTAAAGACCTCTTATGAAGCATTATTGTTTTCTCAAAAATCTGCCATTCGCATTGGAAGGAATTGTAATTGAGCCCCCATCTTGCCTGTGGTAAAACTCATTTACATCATCTTCCAAAAGACAACTAATGATGAGCAGAAAAATATTACATTCAGAAGAATCTGTTTCAAAATGCTTTAGGCAGGACTTTCAAGTATGAAAACAATTCTCCGACAACATTTTAAACGAAAAACGCTAAACTATTCATTGCAACACTGCACAACTGACTTTTGCAGACCTTCGACTGACTCAACAACTGTCGTTTGACCCAGATATCTTTGTATGATGTGTCTTTACAAAGGCCATAGGTAAGAAAATTCACTCTAAAAATGGATCTTCAAGTAATTGTGTTAACTTCTAAAGAATTTGTTTTGGCAATTTGTTTAACTTACTTATTTATTTTTATCCCTGCCTTAATCAAGCAAATATTTCAACCAACTTCCTCAAGATATAAGCAGAAATGTAGCACAGGATTAAAATACCAGGTGTGAAATATGGAAATAGGAAAAACACAACAGTGTGGTGGAAGGAGCACTATGTAAGTACTAATTCTGCTGCCAAATCACTGTTTAAAGTTTGAAGAGTCACTTTCACTTCCTGGCCCTCTGGTTTTACACATTTTATTTTATTTTATTTTATTTTGTATTTTATTTTATTTTATTTTTTTGAGATGGAGTTTTGCTCTTGTTTCCTAGGCTGGAGTGCAATGGTAAAATTTCAGTTCACTGCAACCTCTGCCTCCCGGGTTCCAGTGATTCTCCTGCCTCAGCCTCCCAAGTAGCTGGGATTACAGGTGCCCACCACCACTCCCGGATAATTTTTGTATTTTTGGTAGAGATGGGGTTTCACCATGTTGACCAGGCTGATCCCAAACTCCTGACCTCAGGTGACCCACCCACCTCAGCCTCCCAAAGTGCTGGGATTACAGGCTTGTGCCAACACATCCAGCCTGGCTCTATACATTTTAAAAGGCAGTACTAGGTAGTATAGTCTTAGTTGCAACTAACAGTAAAGCTCACTGAAATTAAACAATGTGGGAAATGTAGCTGTTCATATACTTGTAAGTTTCAGACACAGTGTAGCTCCAGGTGAAGTTTTCCAAACAGTTCACCAGTGGCATAAACAATAGTTTCCTTCCTTACCTTACTTATTTCCATAGACTCAGTTTCATTTTCTGGTTGGGTGTCTTCATTGGCCCTTAACAGCAAAGGCATTTTTAAACCTCATTTATTCATACTACATCGTTTAGAATGGAAAATTTTCCTTCGGATTCTAGACAATTTCTTTGAAATTAGACAATGATTCTAACGGTATTTTTATGGTTAATTGCTTGTCTTGTAGTAAATTAAAGCTAGTCACAGATACTCCGACAATGCTCCTAGTGAAAAATGGGGTACCTGTGCTCTCCTCTTGAATCACAGGTAGGAGCTTTGCAACTCCCTTGACCAATAGAACATCCCACAAATGATAGTAAGCCAATTTCTTGTCCCACAAATGAAGATACTGACTGTTTTTACTTCTCATCATTTGGAAAAGTCACTCTTGAAACCCAGCTGCCATGCTATGAGTAAGTCCAATTAGCAAAAGTCCCTGATAGAATTTGAGGCCTGCTGACAGCCTTGACTGAGCTTTCAGCCAACACCCAATATCAATTTTGCTAACCAAGTAAGTGAACCATCCTGGAATTGGATCCTTCAGCCCCATTTTCAGTGTTTTAGCTGATACCATGCGGAACGACGAAAGCCATCCTTTATGAACTTTACTCAAATTGAAGATATGTGAGTAAAATAAATTATGGCTGTTGCTGTAAGCCACTGGGTTTCAGACTGGCTTGTTTTGTAACAAAAGTTCACAAGAAAACTACTCCATCATTAGGACAGACTACAATATTTATTTTTTCCTAATTGTGTATGCTTCTTCCTGATGTGTGATGTAGTAACTTCCCTGAGTAGTGTTGAAATAACATTTTCATTGTCAGCTTCAAAATTTATTGGCATAATGTTTCAAAGCATTAGCTTGCTTTATTCTTGATGAAAGAAACCAAGAGACTTATTTTTATGTTCACTGTGTTTGCTTCAAAATGACACTGTACCTTGTCAGGTATCACAGATCTATTGTTCAAATGTGTAGCATAAATCACATTGAAGATTGTATAATTTTTATCAACAGGAAAGTTAAGCTTTAATGGCATGTAATCAGGGTTGTCCTTAGAGTATTCAAGACCCTGGACAAGAACTTTTTGTGGTGTTCCTATCTACATACACAGTTTGAGCCACATAAGTTAACCTTGTCAGAACCATACTGGTGACTCAGTCTTAACATGGTCCTGTCAAAGTGGTACTGTACTACAACTGAGACCGACTGCAAGGTCCTTGGACAGCCCCAGAGGCATGAATGTGTCCCAGAGCTCCCAGGGGTAGCTGGCCAACTTTACACATGGGATACAGGGTTGAAGAGCTCCCCAGGGCCCATGTGGCTCCTAGTCCAAATATGTGGTACCCTATTCAGAAAGCACCACTAGTCTGGCCCTATCCCAGACACTGAAGGGGAAGGAATTTAGAATACTTCAAAGAAGGTATTCTGAAACATGAAGCCCCCAGAGGCATAGGATCCAAGACAGAAGTCCTGCTTGCCTAGGTCTAAGGGCAGAACTGCATAAAATCTACAGAGCACACATGCTTACTTTGAGAGACTGTGCAGAAATATGGGATTTATTGTGTTCTTTCATTGCATACAGATTATGTTGTATCAGCACTCGTTAAAGAATTAACGGGTCTTGGTTGGTAGTGTCATATGAATCTTAATTGACCTTACCCCCTCATGTTATTTTTTAAATCTTGTTTAAGGAAAATTATTTCATTTACCTTGGTAAAATACCCTCTTGCGAAGTAATTAATTTTTAAACTTCATTTATTCATACTACATCATTTAGAATGGAAAATTTTCCTTTGGATTCTAGACAATTTCTTTGAAATTAGACAGTGATTCTAACTGCATTTTTATGGTTAATTGCTTCTCTTGTAGAAAATTAAAGCTAGTCACAGATACTCCGACAATGCTTCTATTGAAAAAAGGGGCACCTGTGCTCTCCTCTTGAATCACAGGTAGGAGCTTTGCAACTCCCTTGACCAATAGAATATCCCACAAATGATGGTGAGCCAATTTCTTGTACCACAAATGGAGATACTGACTGTTTTTAGTTCTCATCATTTGGAAAAGTCACTCCTGAAATCCATATATTTAAACTTTAAAAAATAATATTTATATAAATATATGTAGATAATATATATTTAGATAAGAAGCATCTAAGGCCAGGCACAATGACGCATGCCTGTAATCCCAGCACTTTGGGAGGCTGAGGCAGGAGAATCACAAGGTGAGGAGTTTGAGACCAGCCTGGCCAGCATGGGGAAACCCAGTCTCTACTAAAAATACAAAAATTATCTGGGCATGATGGCATATGCCTGCAATCCCAGCTGCTTGGGAGGTTGAGGCAGGAGAATCACTTAAACCCAGGAGGCGGAGCTTGCAATGAGACAAGATCATATCACTGCATTCCAGCCTCGGCAACCGAGTGAGACTCTGCCTAAAAAAAAAAAAAAAAAGCATGTAAAGCATCTAAATGAAAAGCCCCAAACATTATATAATATCACCTTATTGCAACACAACACAGGCTTGTTATTTTACAACCTACCGGTATTCTACTCATGAAAGTGCAGTGGCAGATATGTATTAATCTTGCCTGGCATCAACTGAGCCTGGAACCAAAGCCTGGAGTAATGTCCCCATTTGTATAGCTTAGGACACAGATTCTCGTTCTAAATTTTAAAAAAAATCAGTACAGTGCTCATCGTTGACCATGTACAAATTATTTAAAAGTGTGAGAGTTGTGAAAGCACATTCAGGGATTATTTTAACAGAAGTAAATCTTCTAGAATAATTAATTCATTTTTATTATTCAAATATATTAATATTTGTTAAATGTATGTGGGGGAAAATGCTCATTAACATTAAAAATGATGAAAAATATATTTTTTAAAAGTGGTCAATTAACAAAAGATAAATTCAAACTAATTTGCAGATTGATGTACCTTCCTACACACTTCATAACATGAATTATTCTGCAAAACATTGTATATCAGATCCTATCTCTCTATAGTGGCTATTTTCTCCCCTTGATATATGGAGAGGCACTGGCATGAACAATTCACTGCTTAGCCTAATGTTTTCACTTGCTGTTCATGAAGAGGGAGCACTAATAGCGCCACAAAATATTCAGAGAGAAAACTCTGCAAACTATAAAAATAATTATAATGTCAAGAGTCCTATTTTTTTTCTAAGTCTCATTACAAATATTGATGAACATGTCTCAATTCTAGAAATATTTGCACCTGAGTAAAATGTTGGCTTCAATAGCATTCTGATTGTGATTTACAGCAGTTAATATGAATTATTCTATTTAGATGTTTAAGAGGTTTTTCTCATTTCCTTCATCAGGTTCAATCATAAAAGGCTTAATCATTCAGAAGACATTACTGAATTAGATTGCATTAACCACATAATAACAGAAAACAAGAGGAATATGGAAACCAGCCGAAATGCTATTAGGAAGGAACTAAGTTCATTCCCTGTAATGCCTTTGTTGATTTGTTGAAATTGTTGATGTGACCTCAATCACAATTTCTGTTCTACTTTGTTCATCAGTTTCTTTTCACTTTAGTAAACATGCATTTATATTTTTGAGACAGAAATCTAAATGTTATACATATGGACAGGGTTTCTAGACTACTGCATGAGTTTAGAACTTAGGGCAGGTTCAAATATTAATAAAAGGAATCATAAAACATATATGATGTTATATACTAGGCATAGAAATTTTATCATTGTCTTCATACAAGCCATACATAAGAAGGTGATATTTTATAAGAAAAGGAGAAACCAGTTGATACCACATTAATGAGACAAAGGAAGTGAAAATCTGCAAGGATGGTTAAGATTAGACAAAAGACAAAATATTCATTATAATTTCTTTGAAAATTTTTGCAAGAAAGAATGGTGGGCAAGTGCTAGTCTGTATTGTATATGTCCAGAGTTTTAAAGAAGAATATAAACTTTAAAAATCACCTATTCAATTGCTTTTTCCTTATAAATGTGTCTGCAATCCTTAAGTGACTTACTCAGAATCACTTAGCTTGTTTCCAGCAGAGTCAAACCCATAATCTCAGTGGACTTTGCTGGAACCAATGTTATTTGCACCTCTGTTTGCTTCTTTGCTTCTAAAATGAATGAATGCCTTACTCTTAAATAATTTTTATCTTATCTGAAGTTATTTTAACATCTATTATTTGATGCTCACAAGTAACCCCATTACCCTCATTTCCCTCAGCTTATTCTCCAATATTAACTCATACTATGTCCCTTCTCTACTAGCATCCTTCATCTAAGCTAAATTCTGTAATTTCTCATATTCATCATAGTCTCTCTCATCTCTCTTGTCTCCACAGAAAGTTTTTGCAAATGCTTCTCCTGCATGGGAAATCTTTTTCCTTCCTTTTGGCTCATTCACCTTTTAGACTTTTAGTATCTTAAAAACAAAGGAGTAGAATTTTTCTTGATCAATTTTCTTCCCATTCTGGGGTTAGAAAAATCTGAAGTGTGCTGTGGATCCCTTAGTTTGATAAATTCCATAGCTGTTGGCACAGGCCTGCTTTTTATCTTTCACCTTTTAAAATATTATTAATGAGTAATGACAGCAGAATATCAACTAGTAAAAAGGTACATGATTATAGATTATGATGAGTACCATGAATGTAACAAACAAGTTGTTGGGTCAGAACAAACTGGGAAGTCATTGTATTTGCACAGTCAAAAAAGCCATCACTAAGGATGTGAAATTTGAGTTGACATCTAAATTTTGTGAGCTATCCAGCCATGGAAAGGACTAAAGGAAAAGCATTTTAGAGGAAGGGAGCAACAAGGGCACAAGCCCTTAAAAGAAAAGGAACTTGATAAATTTCAAATGTGGAAAGATGCCCAGAGAGACTGTAAGACAGTGCATGGGACAGTAGTAGAGGTCAGGTTTGGTAAAGTAGGTGGATATCAGATCACATAGGTCATTAGGCAGGGTGAAGAATTGTCATTTTGTTGTGAGCACCAAGTGATCTCAGTGATATATTTTAAATTGCAGGGGAACAATCTGCTTTTACATTCTTTTCTTATTCAAATGAAGAAATAGATTAGAAATTTAATGATTAATAGGCTTGGATGGAGACAAAGAGTAACAGTAAAATGTGTAACACATATTGAAAGCTTATCATATGGTAGGGATTTTTGCAAATTGCATAATTTAGAATCCCTACAAGGGTCTTATGAGGCAGATATTATCATTTACATTTAACAAATTGAGAAATGACTCTCAGAGATGTGAAGTAACATTCCCAAGATCACACGTGACTTCAGCTGAAGGGAGTCATGTCAGGATTTAACTTAGATTTCAAGGACTTCATACTTCTCATTATACCATACAGTTTCCATGGATCAAAGATCTCTACTCTTCAGGTATTCATTTTGTTTCTCTACTAAAAAATATTCTTGGATTATTTAAAAGATATGATGGAAAATTATGCAGAAAATTGGCAGAACTAATGCTATTTATGATGAGTTCTCTTACCATAGAAACATAAATTCTGGCCTATGATTTCAACTACTATATTACGGTTATTAACCTATTAAAATAGGCTTGTTTTATGTACATAATACTTGTCTAGTAGCATTATCACATTTTATTTTTATCAAATTTTATTATGAATGTTAGCATGACATAATAAACTCTACCAAGTAAAACCTGCAAATGAAGAGAGACAAAGTCTGATTTAGTTCCCTTTGGAACACAGTAGACTGTCTTACTTCATTGGATTTTTGTTTTTTCTATATAGAAGGGTAGTTTACCGGGAAAGAGGCAGAAAAAAAACTTTCTAATTTAATAATTGAGAAGATTTTCCTCAACATATTTACACTAATATTACCTCATTGCTTCCTCTAGTCCTGCACTGAATGTTACTCCATGGGAAATACATGCTTCTCCATTTTCTCTTGCACATCCTCCCTTCATTTTATTCTCTTTACTGCTTCCCTTAATTCACTTACTCCTCCTTTCCTCCATTTTTCCCTTTCTCTTTTCCTTCTCCATTTCTCCTTAGTTCTCTCCTTCTCATACATCTTAAATTTGAGCTTCTTAAGATCAAGGACTTTTATCCAGTTGTGCAACATTCAATGCCTAGTATAGTGCAAAAAGTAGGAATTCAATAATTGCTTGTTCATGGCTTTGGGAGAAATATTTTCTCCCTGTTCAACATAAAACTTTTCCTTCTAATTTCTCCACAGATCAGAGCAAATAGTGACATTTTCTGCTGCTGCTTCTTCTACTTCCGTCTACATATTCCAGGATCTCTTCAATCTGTGAGTCATTCTATACCGTGTCATTACGATATACATTCGCACACTTAGCACTGCCTGATTGAGCTTTTCCTCCTCTTGTTTGCTGTCTCTTTTTCTCTTTCCCTGTTGTTTTATCTTATAAGCTCCAATAGCTCTCTTTATGGGTAATAAAGATGGAAGAAAAACACTCTCCATCTTATATTTTGTAATTTTAAAATTTAGGTTGTCATAGCAATGTGATAAAATTTTTAAAATAGAAAAGATTTTCCTTATCCACAGGAGAACTTTTTTCTGTTTACACATACATAGAAGTATTTAAATGGGAAAATTTTATGAAAAAAATCAGTTTGTACGCAGAACTTTAAAAATCCACAGTACACATAAATAAAAGGAACTTCAAATATCAAAGTTTACAATTTAATTTTAAAAAGTTAAACTCAGCTGTTTGTATTTTAACAACTAATAGTCAGCATGTTTTTATCCAGTCATTTATTTACATCTAGCATTATTGTATATATGGATTGGATTCAGGAGCATCATAGAAACAGACTTTGAAGTAAATTAGGCTTCAAATCCAATTGTTTAATTCTCTCAAATAACAGATTTAAAAAACTGTTATTTCAGGAAATTGTATAACTTCCATTATTTTATTTTCAGACATAGTGCCATCCTACAAGACTCTCAATGTCAGCCACTGTATTTGTTGATTTACGTTATCTCAAATTTTTAAAATCCCCCAAAGTAGGAACATTTTTTCTAATGTATTAGGCAACTGAAGCCCAGAGAAAATGAGACATTTGAGAAAGTCTTTCCACTAGGTTGTGATGGAGCTGGATTCAAACCCAGCAAACGTGTCACGGTCTGAATGTCCAAGTCATCACTCTTCCCATTACTCTGCCTCTCCAAAGAGATCAATTTGTAATGTTGGTGGTAAGAAAAGAGAAAACAATTTATTTTAGAAGAATACACAAACCGTATAGTGCAGAAATAAATTTGTAGAAGAATTAAACATGGTTAGATTAACAAATCCTGGAGTCACTAGGAAGACTTTCCCAGGCAATACATGTTGGAACGGATAGTGCTGGGATTACAGGCATCAGCCATCGTGCCTGGCTGACTCTCTTTCTTTGAAAACAACTAAAATTCCTGGGAAAAATATTTTAAATATTTTTCTTTTCAAATGTACTAAATGAACTAAGAAAGTAAGGCATACTGAGGCTATAACTAAACAAAAACATAAACTCACATAAATAAGGAGGACATAAAAGCATATTTACTATTGAAAGCATTTGCTGAATCAGGTTAAATAACCTGAAACCAACAGAAGGCAAGAGACAAAATTCAAGGTATAGCCAAAATAGAAAGTCCAGGAGGAGACCACCATTCAGGAGACATAAATGTGAACCAGAAATAAATCATCACTACTTTCCACTCCTCCCACAAGGGACACAAGGAACATGGCCCACTTAGGGATTTGACACTGAGAATTAAGAAGAAGGAATAATCTCCTTATAATTTCCTTGACATATGTGGCCACAGCCTAAAGCTCAAACAAGTAGTTACTTCATTAGCTTCTTAATTTCAATATTTTAGCAAATGTATTAAAGGTTATTGTATCTTTTCATTGGAATCAACAACATATTTTAACATTTAAATTAAACTAGTCACATAAATTAAGGAGTGGATATCTATTGATCACCTTAATTATTTTTCATTTTCCATTATTTTGGCCTTACCACTGGTTTATTTATTGATTGACTTATCTTAGAAAACAATTTATCCCGTTTTTAATCCCTGTGTTTAGAATGAGACTTCTTTTGTATAACCAATCACTCCTATCCCAACTGCAGTTCCAGATCTGGGTAATCAGAAATTCATTGATAAGCCTTTCAATGTGTCAAAACTTAAATGGATAGTTTTTCAGATAGAAGTAAAAGAGAAAGAGAGAGAAACAGACAAAAATTTTGCACTAAAGAAATATTATCTTACTCTAATTTTTGTTTGTTAAATGTCAAAAATAAAAGCCACAATTACTCAAAAATGTATTCTTGGTTTCATTGCAAGTACCCAAAAAGATAAGAAGTCCTGATATTTTCCCCCGGGAGTGAGAAAGGGGAAAGATCAAGAAAGTCTAAGACTAAGATTTGACACTCTTGCTATTTATGTGTTTCAAGTATATGTGGTAACGTCTCTGATAATATTCCAGCTAAAATCTGGTTTTAATCTAAGCCAGTTAATTGGTTGGCAATAACCACTTGTTCAGATTAAAGATAAAAAGCGGTCTATAAAATTTTCTGTAACTATGGCCTGAGCTCAATTTATAGTCTGTATTTCCACAGCATCACAGGTGAATCCTAACACTACTGTAGCCTTAACTTTCTCTAGGAATGATCTTACATCCATGTGTGTGACTGAGCAAGTGGAAGAAGCCACGGAATAACACAGATTAAGTTGTATCAGTGATGATGGGAATCATTTCCACAAGAAGATAGTGGTCCTTTCCCCTGAACTATAAAGTAAATATTTTCTTTTCTTTTCCTTTCCTTTTCTTTTTTCTTTTTGTTTTCTTTTCTTTTTCTTTTCTTTTCTTTTTGTTTTCTTTTCTTCTTTAAGAGAAGCAGCTGGGACCACAGGTGCATGCCACCATGCCCAGCTAATGTTATTTTTGTATTTTTTGTAGTGACAGAATCTCTCTGTGTTGTCCACCCTGGTCTCAAACTCCTGGCCTCAAGCTATCCACCTCATTCTCCCAAAGTGCTGGCATTACAGGTGTGTGCCGCTGCACCCAGCTCTGCACTCTTAATATTGTTTCCCTTCTTAATGCACTGATTGGTATTTTCATCCTCTAATTCATGTTGGAAAACTGGTGACTACTGGAGTACTCTGAACGTGTTTTCACTGTGGCAATTGCAAAAACGTTTCCAATTTAGGTTTACCATTACTATAAATAATAAACACAGGTTCCACTTATAGAATTTTCATTATGTGAAAAACATTGTGATAAGCGATTTAAATATTTGCATAGGCATCCCTAAATCCTATGAGGTAAACCCCACAATCATCATAACTTTATTTTTTCTTATATACTTGATATACACCATTTACACAGTGAATGAGCAATATATAGAAAATGATGAAAAAATTTTACTCCACAAGTTCATGAACTCCTTAACTTCTTTCAACAGAATTGTGATTTCATGCACTCCAAGTTGAGAACTCATGCGGGATGCTGAGTTTACTAAACCCTAATCAGTATGGCAGTCAAAGATTCCATAGTGCCTGGCTGTTGAATGGAAAGATCAGTCTTCTCAAGATGATCAAAATCTCCCATAAGTATATTCACTGTGTACTTACATGAATACATTGATGTCAACTGAAATATAATTTATTTCAAATTCTTTATTTTGTGTGTCTATTAAGTATGCTTACATTTTTATGTCAACATAGTTTCACTTTTTATGTTAGAAAATGCTAAGCAATAAATGCTACACCTGAATGCTGAAAGATATTAGTGTTGCTTGAAGCTCACCAAATAAACACACAGATACTCCACTGGTATAGTCCAGTCCTGACCTTCAGTGGATAGGAAACTATTCAGTGAAATGTAATGCACAGTACTGGATTACAGTTAGTGGAATTTTTCAAAGTAAATTATCTATATCTGTATTACTTGATTCAGCTTGAATCCTCTTTTAAATTAAGTATGTTTTAACTATTTTTTTTATTAATTACTGACAAACTGCTATTTTACAGCCACTTCTGTTATTCTTATTAAACACAAAGTTTGCACTATTTACAAATGTGCATTAATATGAAATTATTGGTTTCTGCAATTTCTCAAAAAAATTTCATCATGTACCTCAAAGCTAAGGTAGTTGGAGGTTCAAGTTCCAATTAGAACTCAGTGCAAATCCCTTCTGCAGATACAAGTATAGTAAAATAACTATTGCCTGGGAATTTCAGAAAACTTTTATAGCTCCTGCTATTGCCTTCTTGCCAAAATGAACTATCTGTTCATCTATTCTAAATTAGAACTGTGTAGTTAACAAAGATCAAGAAGATTAAAAACATGGTGTGAGGTCAGTATAGCATAACATTTAGTATTTCCTTTTGTAAGTACTGCTCTCCTGTGCTTAGTTAAGTATTATTTAAGATACTATTGGATCTTTATAGAATGTTCCCATCATTAAAATTTAATTTTGACACTACAATACGTACAAAGTTCTGTCAAGTATTATTAATGATTAAACAATGAGGAAATATGTTATTACAGTGTGTTCAATCTTTAATGTCCATTAAATCCACTTGGTAAATGTAAATGTAAATGATACTAACTACAATTCTCATTCTCTAGTCCTTTACACATTATAAAGAAATGAGGATCCTATAATACCAATCAATAAGTGATGAAATCAAACTGTGTGTGGTGGCTGAAATTGGAATGGGCCTTTCACAGAAATCTTATCATTCTCCTACTAGGGACAGTGCTGAACAGACGTTTCACCTCCCATTTTGTAAGCAAATGCCTATGTGTGTAGCACTGTGATTATATTTCTGTCGTGGGCCTTAGATCATCTTCAGCATCAGAGAGTTCTAAAAATCCCATTAAGAAATCATTTCAAGGAAACATAAATGTTCTTAGAAATAATCTCCAATGCTTTTCTAATTTCTTATATTAATGTCTCGTGCAACCCTCTTCTCAGAATGGGTAATAAAACCTCTTATATTTACGCACAGAGAGATATGTACATTCATCTTATTTACTTCCTATTTTAATTGCTGTCCCAACTAAATACAACACATGTAATGCAAATGTTTGCCAAACTTTGTATGGGTTGTACTTAACATGTATAATACTGGCATTTTAGCTGAAGTGATCGTGACAAAACCTTCCTGAATAAAAATTACTTTTTTAGAAAGGAAACAATTCTGTTGCAAAATCAAGTTGTTACTTTTTCTTATGATTTTGTAGCCTAATGAAAAATGAATACATGATGAAATTTAACCCAATTTCCTTTCACTTTTAATTGATCTTCGTGGGCTTGAGGGAATTTGTCTTTATATTTATCTCCCAGGGAGAATTTCGACCAAATTTTTTGAGTGAGTTATCATCATTCAACTTTGCCTGGCTAAAAGCCCTAAAATAGGGACAAAATTTACATTAAATATCTCACTTTCTATTTTAGCATGCTGTGGATCAGCAGAAGGTTCAAGCTAACATACTGATTGTAAGGGTAATGTAGGCAACGGGTAGTGAAGGCCTTTGTTATCTTCTGATAAGTTTGTTTTGAGTATCATTTTTCTCTTACATGCTTATTTTTGTTTCAATTGTGAAGACTCACGATTTACAGCCATAATCTTCCCAACTACATTTAAAATTATTGCATGTCAAAAAGTATTGGCATTTGACCATTTATTCAATTATTCTTGATAGTCTGACATGATTAAAAGCACAATCATTCTACTCAAATTACAAGAAGTCTGCATCATTTGAGGTGCCTGCCCGCTCCTAATAATACTCTTTCTTCTGAGAACAGATTCACCCAACATGTCCACTATTCCTGTGCTCCAGAAAAAATAAAATAGAGTACTACCAGGGCGGTCCAACAGGTCCCTGCTCCCTGGCCGTAGACGATAAAAGGGTAGGCAACTGCCCTGGGCTAGTTGGAAATTCCTTCACAGGAATTTAGAAGTGAGAAAGAGAAAGATTGTAATTCCGTCAGGACTGTTTGTTTGGACTTAGGTGGATGCAAACCTGGAAGTGAAGGTGGAGAAGAGCTTCTTTATATTTGGAAAAATGGAGAAATCCAGTCTATGGAGAGAAGGAATAGCTGTACGGAGAAGGCAGAGAAGAGAAAGCAAGAGCATGAGACCAGGGGACCTTGGCTAGTCTTCCTACAGCTTTCCAGTTCTCAGTTTTACTTACCTAAGAAAATAGATGATTTTTAAATCTCTTGGATTTTTTGTATTAACGTGACATCAACAACTTTCACAACTTTGTAGCCATCTATAATTATTCTTAAGGCAAACGTCAGATGGCACGTTTTTGTTTTACTTTGAAGTACATAAGAGAGATGTACTTTGAAGTACATAAGAGAGATGTCATAAACCCTGTAGCTCTTCGTCCAGGTTTAGGAAACATACTTCAGGCTTATTTTTACTGGTGTTTGTTGCATATGCTACATGACTTGGTTTCCTAGGTAACAGTGTGTGTAGACTTAGTTGTAAATTTTCTCTTTCCTTGAACTCATACTTAGGGTTTGGGGGGAGGAATTCTAAAAAACATATGAATTTCAGAATCAGAAATTTTCCTCTTATCCTTCACTACCTCTTGCCACCTGCCTCCTCACACAATCTGTATCTGTCGACTTTTAAGCAGGATTTGCTGCCTTCCAATTTTCCCACAGGCCTTTGGGTGCTTATTTCTAGCTTTCTGACACTCCCAACTTATGCTACCTAATGAGTCATAGAAATGATTTTTAAACTTATATATAATGTAAGAGAATAATTATTAACCATTCAAGGAACATTCATTGAACACCAAACACTTTGCTAAATGCATTATATGCATTATTTTATTTGATATATATGACAATGATGGGCATTAAGAATTATTAGCATTTCTTATAGGTAGGGAGGAAATAAGTTTCATGAAGTTAAGTGGCTTAATCACAATCAAAAGCTAATACATTAATGAGATAAAGACTTGAATTCATTTGTGTAAATGCCAGACTCATGCCCTGAATTATTACCCTACACCAGGTAACCTAAAGTCATCTTTTTAGGTTTTATCTTTGTATCAAGGCATATGCAAAAGCAGAATGAGAATCAGGCTCCTTCTGTTTAGGGCCACAGGGCATACATGGTAGAGCTATATATTGATAAATAGGGAGAAATTTGACTCATAGCTTTTGTCATCATGTATTTATGTTTTAAGGGCAGGGAGAGTATTGCATATCTTCTGTCTCACCCATTACATAATGTCTTCTAGTGGCAAGCTTTCAATAACAAGTTGATTGATTAATACTTGGAACAATGGATGCAGCTTGCACTGCCATTGCCAGGGCAACTGCTCTAAGTTGTAGCTTCTCCTTTTACCTCCCTGATATATTTTAAAGCATCTATTAATAATATTTCTCTTTTGTTTTTCAAAATTTCTATATGTAGCCAGAAAAGATCCTTGAATGTGCATCTAATTAAAAAAATATATATATATCCCTACGTATATGCTAGAAAAGCTGGGATTGCAAATCCTTTCTCAGATATTTCAATTCACAATGATTTTCCCCACTTCCTACCTTTTATAGCACTTTTTCTGTCATCATGCCACTGAATAACCTGAGAATATTAGGGATAGATGAAATCCTGTCTTGTGTGATTATTTTTGGAGAAGCCCACCGAAAGTCAAAAAGATAGCGAAGCTCAGTTAATGATCCATGTCACATACAACTGAGAATTGCAAAACAAGAATTAGAAATAAGGCTTTCCAATCCCAAGTCTAGTGACATGTCCACTACATCTCCCATAGCCATTATGGTATTTAATACTTTGGTCATCTCTATTAGTTATGATTTTGGTTACAAACAAAATAAACCAACATTGGATTATTCAAAGAAGATGAAACCTATTTCAAAGGGGTGCCAAATTGGAAAAAAAAAAATGGTGGAACGTTGAAGAGCTAAATTGCAAAAATCGGTGGAAAGTTGACACCCAGAATAACTGCCAAAGTCCTGTCGCCATTCAAGGCCACAGCAGAGTTATGGAAACGACCATGGCCACAGGGTCACTAGTGACACTGCTGTCTCCAGACAAGATACGGTCTTTCCTTTCACTGCATCTGCTACTGCTCCTAGAATGGCTTCCAGACTGGCCCCTGCTTATTTACATTAACCACTCCAGATTCAAAGCCCCAGCAAGGAGTAGCCCAAGGTGAGATTAGGTCAGAAGCCCACATAGAGCTGCCAAAGACCTACCTAGACAACAACAAATATGTCCCTCTCTTCAGTTTTCACTGTTGAAGGTAAAACCCTGTCTGTCTTCCTTGAAATTTTCCCAAATAGAAGGTGTTCAGAGATTGTGCGGCTGCAAGTGAGAAATATTCACTAGACATTCTAAAAGTGTTTATTACATTGTCAAATAAAATTGCATTGAACAAGAGAAACAGTCAAGGAAGACTATTCAGGACTATAAAAATAAGGTTAAGAGATTGAGTTCAACTGTGCTGAAACAAAAGGCAGGACAATTTTTAAGCACTGGGATGAGGCAGTTTGCAAAGTACTGGAGAAAGTTAGCAGGGAAGTTGGTTAGTGAGATGAGGTCTTCTGTGGCCTAATCTGTTTGCTAATTGATGTTTATCAAAGTTAGGCTCCTACCTTCTCACATAGACTGGTAGATGGGGCTCTGTCTTTCCTCTTAATGAATACATTTCAAAGGTTGGATCCCAGGTCCTCAAGAAAGGTATTCCTGTGTTGTAAAACTGGCAAGAAGCTAGAAGAAGATTTACATCTCAAAAGGACAGAGAGAGAATTTAGGACAGCAATTTTTCTAAAGTAAATGCTCAGATGCTCTGAGGAAAGGGAGGCCAGGGGCCTTTAGTCAGGAAGAAATCTGCCTAAATTTAGCCAAGCCAAGGCCATCATGGTCAGGGGTATGTTCACGTTTTGATTCTTGAACTATAGAGAGAAACCTTTAGAAGACTTCAGTCTATACCATTACCATTTTCTAACCCAAATAGCTTTATCACAGTAGATTTTATATGTGGCAGTGGTAAAAACTGATTAAGTGATTGAATGTATACAATGGACAGTCACAACAGAAAGTTATTTTATTTTTCTCCTTTCCCCCAACAAAAATTCTTTGACAATACCTTACTCAATGATTTCTCAAATAACTGGAGGATAAAAACAGAAAAGTTTCTAGGACTATGAATATGTAATTAGATTAAATGCATTTCAAATTGAAAGACAAAGAGTTCCATGACTAAGTTTATTTTTGGTCGTCTAGAGATACTGACAATGAAAATTTGAATTCTTGTCAGCAAACTTATTTAGGGAAATGGTGGAAAATAAAATTCTAATTGCAACTCAATTGGCTGTTGCCTCCTTTTGCAGTTTCATTGGAAATATTACTCCCATATTTAAGTTTAGATTTTGTTCACAACTGGTATATTGTTAGAACACCCCAACAATATATTTCCTCTAGCATTGTAAAAGAAGGAAATGTGAACTCTTAAGAAATAGGACTGCTGTATTGTGTAGCAGTAAAAGAAGCAGGGGATAAGCTTGGTCTTCAACAAAACTATTATGTTGCAGAAGCTACTCTGGGCTGACCTAATTTTAAATCACTCCACTAAACCATTATAGGAACTCAAAAATAACACGAATACTAAAACCTCCTACATACATATTTGGAAAAGTAGAGTCCCTCCTTCTAGAAACCCTCGCTGCTACACATACATTTTGTTCACTCAGCACTCCATTAACTTTCAGAGCAACAATAACAACAAATCCAGGAGGCTATTGAACTGAAGAATGCCTGGGTAGATGCAATTGAATTATATCAATATATTTCAGATCCAAAAGGAAAGAACATTTTTAGAGTTTTTTCTGTAATACTTGAATTACTCCAGAAAGCTAGATATAAGTGGTGAATAAACTTGATTTAAAATGTGTATGTGTGTGCATATGTGTACGTGTAAAATCCTGGGCAAAGAAATATAAAGAATCTTCTTTATATGTATGTTTTTTTACTAAGCAAAATTTCTAAAACAATCATGTCCATCCCTCTATCAATTATCAATTGTGAATACAACAACCTCTATCACAAATGGCACTGATGAAAACTTCTATAAATAATAATATACTTTAGAAATTGGCCATAACAAAGCGTCTTTTATTATACAAAGATATGGTTGCAGGTCCCGGCAGAAATGAACTCTTTCTGACCATCATAGGATGTCATGGAAGAAGGGAACTTTGAAATAATGAGTAAATGCTCTTAGAATTTTTTTTTCCTTTTTTTTTTCTTTGTCAGCTTTGCAGGGGATTGCTTGGAGGGTAATATTTGAGACAATGGGGTTTCTTTTTCTTTGGAAATTATTCAAAAATTGGTGGAGACATAATTGGAATATAATAATGACAATCATCATTCTCTTTATTGGTAGCATTTGTAGGAAGAGAAAGGGTGTAATACTTTTCCTCCTCATCATAAGGGTCACAGGCAACACTTTTATAACAAAAGACAGGTTAATAAGATAAAAACACAGCTCTTTAATCAAACTTTTACATGACATGGGAGACTTCAGAATGAAGACCTCAAAGATTCACGGAAAAACTGTCTATTTTTTATGTTTGTGCTCGATGAAGAATGGGCAGCTGTGTAGAAATGTGATTGTACAAGAGTATAACCTAATGGTAACTGAGTGGGAAAACCCAGCAAGGCCTGTCTGTTCAGATTCTTCTTGGACTCTCTGTGTAGCATTCTTTCTTCCCAGGTATAGAGCAGGACACTTCTGGAATGAGCATCTTATGACCTACAGTCAGACAAGGTAAGTCCAAGAATTTGTTCCCAGCTCCCAGAAAGGCAGAGGAAGTTAAAAGCAATATTTCTAGATTTGATAACTGGCTTTGTGGGAAACAGGTCCTGGTTTCTATGATCCACCTTGGGGAAGAAGCATTCTGGTTACTATGACTCACTTCTAGAAAGAATGAGGGGTCAACGACAGGCAGGAGGGAGAAGGTCAGAGAGACCCTAGTCCTGAGGCTGCTTCTGAGGCCTTCCAATGTCCTTGGTTTCAAAGTACTCAGCATGCTGAAGTACCCACTTTGGAGCATTCACTTTCTGAGCCCCAACATGTATGTTAACATTTACTGGGTGCTGGGTTTTTTATTTATTTATTTTTTACATGCAATATATGTTGGAAC